TAAGTCTGGCAGATAAATAGAGAGATCTAGAGATCATTAAAATCATTAAAATCTAGTTCACAGGTGCAGAAAGCAATACATAAAACAAATGGAATGCTGCTGTGTATTACTAGAAGTTTAGAATATAAAAAGTAAGGAGGTACTTCTCCAGTTACCTAGAGTGCTGGTCCAACCTCATGTGGAGTATTGTATTCATTTACTGACATCCAATCTAGGAAGGATGCAAGGAAGACTTGGAGGGTGTCCATTGATTGTTCACTGAATTAATCCCTGAATGGGTTTTAGTTATGATGAAAGACTGGGTGTATTGAGATTATATTCCTTAGAGCAGAGGAGGCTAAGGGGTGATTGATGGAAGTATTTATAATAATGAAAGGAATTTACAGGACAGTAGACAAGTATTCCCTGTGGTAAAGGGATCCATTACAAAGGGGCATATCTTTAAAATCAGAGCTATAACAGTGAGAACTGAGATCAGGAACCATTTCTTCATACAGAGTAATGAAGTTGTGGAATGCTCTGACCCAGAAAACTGCAACGGTGAAATCAATAGAGTTGTTTAAGAGAGAGATAAAGAAATATTTGTGCAGCAAAGGTATTAAGGAGTGAATATGGTGAAAAGGTGGGGTATTGTGATTAAGAGATCTGTCAAAATCTAATAAACAGGTAGAACAACCTCAGTGGCCTGAATGGCCTCCTCCTGTCCCAGTTTCCCTATGCTCCTATTTTTAGGCAAATCTGACTTGTTTCCTTCCACAGAAAACATTCTTCTCTCCTCTCAGTTGCACATTAATGTATAACTGGTATATTAGTGGATGTAGCAACATCTACCAACATACTGTACTTTTTAATTGGATGTTTTCATTACTCTCAAAGTGATTACAGGTAACACAATGCAAGCAAATCCATAATTGGTGCTGGGCCATATATCCCAAGGATATTCATTTTTAAAATCAACACACCAGAACAATGAGAATATAAGAAACCTTAACCCAAGACAAGGTGAATTGGTCCACTGAGTCCATTCTTTCCATAGACTATACACAGTTGTCTCTATTCACTACATGTCGGGGGAAAACTACTGACCTTGATGGGCAACTACTAACCTTGATTCTCCATAAGTCAGTAAAGGCACCAGCCTTTGCAATGTGAACACCACCACAACTTGCCTGTCAAGGTCATTTATCACAGATTGGAAAATTGCTTTCAATTATGAGGAGTTGCGCTTCCCAAACCACCCCACTCCATCCTCCAATGCAAACCAGGAAAAATTCCAGAATAAATGAAGCATTGTATATTACTCATCTATAACCAATTGTGGTGTTTGGACTGACTTCTATTTTCCAAGGGTAAGAGAGAGGTTTACAGCCAGAAGGTACATTGGCTCATTTGATCTCATCCTCCTTTCCATTGCAGAATCATGCTGCTTATGCATTTCACCCACAAAATACACAGTCACTCCACTTTACAATATATTCTGTGAAGCGCTTTAAAAACTCTCAATGACATGATCAGGTGCTATATCAAATGCAAGGATTATTATAACAAATTAGTTTGTCCAGCTAGCCACCACCACCCTTCCTGGTTACCCATTCTAGCTGTTACTCTTCCGATCTATAAAGCTTCAGAAACATCATGCATCATGTTCCATGGAGTATTTGATGATTTCTGTCTGTTTATCCTTATTACCTCCAGGCCTATTCCTAAATAGATATTTATCCAGTTCTCTTTTTCAAGGATTGAATTGAGAGTATCAACTGCTTTAGCTGGGAGTTTATTCCACATGTTAGTTGATGTTTGTGGGGAAAAAACAATTGTCGGTATCTTGTGCCACCACTTACAATTTAAGTCTGTATGGGTACTTTCATGGGGTTTTATTCTGTAAATCTTGCCAAGTGAGCATTTTAAATATTCCAGACATTTTTCTCCATTGTCTAAAACAGCAAAGATCCTACTGTGCATTCAACTGTACCTTGCCAAATATTCTGTGTCTGAGTAGTGTTAATTCATAGTCAAATTATATTTTTATTATTTAAATATTTAATGTAAATTCATGTATTATATACTGAAATCATACTTTTTTTGTTAAGTTATTTCCAATTTCTTGTTGTTTTGTGTGGTTCCAAGTGAGAGGTGTTGGTGCTAGTAAATGGAACATAACATCCAGTTAGTTTCAAGCACTCCAAGATTAGGTGTAATACAGATCAGGTCCACTTGCTGCACAAATACTGGGATCTAAATTACAGAAATTTCTGGCAAATTCCAGATGTGTTGTGGCTAAACCACTGGAACTCTGCTAGGATATCGATCTCAGTTCCGACTGATGTTCCAAACAGTTGGCTGCGGCACATCTGGAATTTGCTGGTTACAAATCGTTTTGTGGCATTTCGAGCTCAGACCCCACTGTATCACTTTGATCATCTCAGCCTGGCTGTGGTAGGACGCAAAGGGCATTAATTTGAAGGAAACAAGATCAGCTAGGGTTCTCACGCCTAATTGTTGGCAGTTATACAAATACTGTATCTAGTGATAATTATCCTTGCGTTTGATATAGTATAGATAACTTAAAAATGACAAAGTGCTTCACAAGTAATTGCTATCACAAGTCAGGATTGTTCACGTGTAGGCAAATACTGCTGGCAATTTATCACAAACAGCTTTGTAATGAATAACAAACTCGTCAGGAGTCTTGCTGGTCAGGACACTGGGAGAAACTCTCTTCTGTTTTCAAAATACATCACAAGATGCTTAATGTTCACCTGAACAAAAAGAGGGGACCTCAGATTAACAACTCATCCAATGAGTCAACGGCACTTCCAACTTTGCAGAACTACTCTGGTACTGCACTGAGAAGTTAGCCTTGACTATGAAATCAGATCCTAGGTGGGCTTGGGAGTCATAACGTTCTGATCCAGAGGCGAGAGAGAGCTACTAATTATGTCAATCTGATACTATGCTTCGGTGAATCTAGAATCAGACTTGGCTGTGATAGTCTGCATTTCTTGCTGCATTTTTAGCTGGTGTCTGATCCAAGCAGAAACACAGTAACAACAACAATAAAATTACATTTGTAAAGAGCCTTTCATGTCGGGAGGGCATCCCAAGGCTCTGAACAGTCAGGGATCAGGACAAGCAACATCCATGGTTGGAGAGCCTGTCGACACTCCTCTGAGCTCATACCTGATGAGACACCCAGCTGGTTTCTGATACCTGTGGAAATGTATCCCAGCTGGTATCAATGCCTTAGACCCATAGAAATTCACAGGACAGAAGGAGGCCACGAGGCCCATCAAGTCTGCACCAGCTCTCAGAGCAAGGTGTTCATTCCTGTAATACTGTCCTGCCTTATCCCCATACTCCTTCTATGGGGATAAGGCAGGGCAGTATACCCCTTATTCTAAAGCATAGCATAACAACAACAACAACTTGGATTTATATAGCGCCCTCCACGCTGGACGGCGTCTCAGAACGCTTCAGAGTAGCGGATCCTGGGGCCGAGCCAGGAGGAGGGGGAAGAAGGTGACCAAACGCACGGTCAAAAAGAAAGGTCTTCAGCCAAGACCTGAAAATAGGAAGAGAAGGGACGAGGAGAAGGGAGTGAGGAAGGGAGATCCAGAGCCTGGGGCCTTTGGCCTTTGGTCACCTTCTTCCCCCTCCCCCTGGCTCGGCCCCAGGATCCGTTACTCTGAAGCTCTCTGAGACCCTGTCTGGCATGGAGGGCACTATATGAATCCAAGTTGTTATTGTTGTTATGCTATGCTTCAGAATAAGGGTTATACTGCCCTGCCTTATCCCCATAGAAGGGGTATGGGGATAAGGCAGGACATACCCCTTATTCTGAGAATTGAACACATTACTAGGGATAAAAATACACTTAGGGATTTCCAAGGGATAAAAATAGACTTAGATTTATCATTGCATTTAGCTCATGGTAATGGACTGGAATCATGGACAAATTTGCCAATGTTTTATTTCTAGCATTTGATATATAGCCTTATCATGTCAAAACAACTCAAAACACTTCAGAGTTTTCTGGAAACTGTAGTGAGTGTCTAGGGTAGCACAGCTGTCAATTTGTGCACAGCAACATCCCACGAACGGCCATGAAGTAAATGACCATTTTTTAAAGAAATTTTAAGATGGAGCACAATCAGTTTCAATAATGGGGGATTGGTGGGTTCTACTTGCAGCAGGAAGGGATGGTGGTGGAGCAGAAGGTAGCACCACTAGTTCCCACCTTAGAGGAAGAGAAGGAGATGGAGTTTTTTGGAGTGATATACGATCAGGTACTCTGTTTCTGATGGTCGTTTAGCTTTACCTTGTGGAATACATGCTATGGGTTATCTGTGGAATGATGTTCAATAGAGAATATCTGCTTTGTTAAAGAACCTTGCAGATGTGCTTCTCACTTGTTTTTTTCAGGCTCCTGGTGGGATCGCTGCTGGTGGGATCGCTGCCTATCCTTTACCTCAGCATTCAGCTCGAGGAAGGACAAGAACAAGGCAAAGATGAGAAGACAGAGGAAGAATGACAGTCCGAACTCCCAACTCTGTGTAACACTCTAACATTGAATCAAGCTGCAACATGCAGGTGAAGACACCTCAGAGTGTTCCAATAGATGAGAATTTCCATGTGTAGGTGGGATGCATGGAATTCTCAGTTTGGTTGGAATACTCTTAAGCATGGTGATGGGTTTCCACATGTGTCAGACTAATACATTTTTAAAAGGCAAAACTTATCCTAAATGATTCTGTCTTCCTTCTTCCATTATATGGAATTCTAATAATAATGATATTAATCCTTGCATTTGATATAGCGCTTTTCACGTCTTCTCGACGTCTCAAAGCGCTTCACAGAATAGGCTGTAAAGTGAATTGACCGTATATTTGTGGGTGAAATTGGCACTGCATTTGGGAAAAGGCAAAACAATCTGAGACTTCGGAGTTTATCTAAAGTTAAATACACATTTTAACAATAAATATAATGAAAGGAAAACCTACGATGGGCATAGGTATTGCTTCTTTTTCGCCTTGGCTTTCTTTGAATCTTTGGATGAGCCTTCTTCAATCCAAAAGCAGAAGATGACAAAGAGGAAAGACGCTTTGATCAATTTCATCCTGAAATTGATTAATCCACCGCAAAATTAATCTGGAACCAAAAACAAAAACACATTGGTTAGCTGCAAAGGATAAATCCTTATGTAAGGTTCATTCAGCAAATGACAAAACAAAGAAACACTAAACCGATCCCATCATCTGTGGGAGTCAGTGCAAGTCAGGGTGTTAATGTGGGGATACCGAGCATGGGTATGAGAATGGAATTCCCAAAGCACAAGGTTTGTTTGCTGCCCCCTCCTCCTAATCCAACAAACATCATCACCGAGGTACAATGCTGCTCACCGGACATACAGGCTGATCCACTTTACAATATGTTCTGTCGAGCGCTTTGAGATGTCTCAACGATGTGCTAAGGCGCTATATCAAATGCAAGGATTATTACTAAAAGGTGCACAGGATTTTCCTGTGGCACATCCACCTTTAAATCACTCCTCATTGTAATAATGTGATTGAGATTGCGATTGAGTTAATTATTGCATCAATCGAGTCCTCTCAATTGCAATCTCTGCTGCAGGATTTACAGTTTTCCGACCCCAATTGTTAAGAAATTAAGATTCACAAAACACTTTGGATTAAATATCTCGTGTATTTATTCTTTTTAAAAAAAACACAAAATCAGTAACAAGTCGAAAAGATGCACGTTTAAACATTGAGGATTTATGTTGGGGGGGGGGGGGGAAGGCACGCACAGTGAGTGTCACAATAAAAGGAAGATCAAAAGAGATCAGGGGGTGCAATGCAGTTGAAACCGATTGCAGCATTATTTTTCTTCGCAGAGGTACGAACATTTTGCAGGTTTGGTTCGGATAAACAGCCGCATCCTCCGAGGATGCTGCAGGAATTGATGCTCTGGCCTCAGCACCACAACCCAGCAAAAAAGGCTCAGAGAGAGTGGGGGGGGGGGGGGGGTAGCGCCTTGGCCATAACTCTCTCTCTGGTTCCAAATCCCATACAGCATCACTTAGCATCCAGGGCGTTATTTTTATATATGTGCATATATATAAATATGCATATATGTAAAAATAAATATATGCACATATATGGTTCCTACTCACCGCGGTCCTCAATGCGAAAGGTTCTGAAGGCGATCCGGTTTGAACGGTTCCAGCGTGTGCTGCGCCGTGTGTTTGACACCCATCACCCAGTCGGTGCAGTTCAGTGTCGGTGCAGTCAGTGCTTCACACCATCAGCAGCTCACCCTCACTGCAGCGGCTGCGAGATGCGGCTTCAGTCAGTGATGGTCTGATTGCATTGCTGACCCGCTGTCACCAGGCACAGATAGGATCCTTTTTTTTTTAGCATAGATCCACAGATACATACAATATATATATATATATCTGTGTGTGTGTGTGGGGGGGGGGGGGGGGGGTCAATAACACTGTTTCTCAAGATGGAGGGATGCTCTGTGCAATGCACTCTCTACATGCGCAGTTGCACAGACCCACTTCTGGGAAAGGAATGAATAAATCACTGGAGAAGTCAAAGTTGCTGATCGCCTCCACCTCTCTGATGGCCAGCCATTCCTGCCAGCCTGGCAATGTATGCATATATATATATATATATTGAAATAAATCAATGCATTTTTTTAAAAAAAAGACCAAAGAGCGTCAACACCTCCTGATGAAAAGGGTTGCACTGTTTTGCTTGTTACACCGTTGCCCACCGGCTGCTCCCCAATTCAACAGCAAAGCGCTGTCTGTATCTTTCACACCAGTTACAGGCCGGTATTCCCGACCCAACGTGCACACGTTAAGGAGATCCCATTGCACAAGTTGTTCTGGTGGCTGTGCATTGGACTCCTGAGCATCAACAGTCACTTCTTGAATATGGGGCTGCACTCAGTCAGCGACTGCACCTGCAACTTGCAGGGTCTGCAGGTCTGAAGTCTGGAGAGAGTCCCTATCGTTGCTTTGTACCCACAATCACATCACTTTACACGCAATTACACCACTGTACACACAATCACACCACTGTACACACAATTACACCACTTTATTCACATCCACACCACTGTACACACAATCACACCATTGTACACACAGTCACACCATTTTAAACACAAATAAGTCATTTTATACATATTCACATCACTGTACACACAATCACAGCACTGTAAATACAATCACACCATTGTACACACAATCACACCACTATACACATTCACACCACTGTACACACAATCACAGCACTGTAAATACAATCACACCACTGTACACACAATCACACCACTGTACACACAATCACACCACTGTACACACAATCACACCACTGCACACACAATCACAGCACTGCACACACAATCACACCACTGCACACACAATCACACCACTGTACACACAATCACACCACTGCACACACAATCACACCACTGTACACACAATCACACCACTGTACACACAATCACACCACTGTACACACAATCACACCACTGTACACACAATCACAGCACTGCACACACAATCACACCACTGTACACATAATCACACCAATCACTATAAATAATCACACCATTGCATACACAATCACACCACTTCATACACAATCTCACCACTTTATACAGTCACAGCACTCTACAGAGTCACAGCACTCTAAATCAATATTTTCCAAGGCAGAAGGAATGGCTCTCATAGTCACAAAGTCACACCACTTTATACACAATCCTACCACTTTACGCATAGTCATACCACTTTACACAATCAAACCCCTTTACACATAGTCACGACACTTTACACAGTCACACTGCTCAACAGCATATCCTATGAAACTCTGAGACATCTCAATTTTGTGATAAGGCACTATTTCATAATGCAAAGCTTATTATTATTACAACAACAAACAACTAGAAGGCAGAGAGAGCTCTGGTCACATTCAGAGAGGACGCCATTTGTGACATTGATGAGCGCTGTGATGGAGGGTCTGGGTTTGGGATTTAAGGGAGCGGAAATGGCTCTTATTTAAGGGCGCTGAAGTGGATTTGGAGATGGTCCTGGATTTCAGGGGGGCAAGATAATTGAAAGACGATCATTTAGCAGTTTGGTGGTTGTCTCAGTATTGTTGAAGGTGGAAGACCAGAGGAAGAGAAGATCCAAGGATGATAGGGCATTTGTGAGGGACTCTTGGGGGGCTTGGAGGAGGGGAGAGGGAATCGAGAGGATCTGTCATGGACAGACTACCGATATCAAGGTCTGCATAATCAATATTATTTCCATGCACATAGCCAATGATAAATTGTTCGCCATCAGATGTAAGAGGGAATAAGCATTTAAAACATTGTTTTAAATTTGGAATAACACCCTGCAGCAACATATGAAAACTGGAAGACTTTAGCTGACGACAGAAAAAAGCTTACAAAGAAATGTGTCCCCCCTCCCCTTCCCTCCGCCAGTGAGACTGGTTATATCGTACATAATCCAGTGCAGACAGTGATGACCTCCATAGAGAGAATAAGCAACAATGGGCTTAGTTTTCTCCTCAGTGCAGCTGTTTACAACAGAACAAAGCTCTTTTTCACCTTTCAATATCAGACACACTTGTGACAAGATTAAAACTCAAACAGTAAAGTAGAAAATCAAGCCTAATGTTATGACAATGGGTCTTCTTATTTAGTCAAATAAAAAAGCAACATTTTGCATGTTTATCTTTTCAGAATACCGTAAGATAAACTTGAGGTTATCTTAGAAAATTGCAACACCAGTTTTATTTTGAATAACGCAAATATTTTTGCCTTTATTACATTCACTAGTAGACCATTTCAACTATTTATTTCTTTTTGAACAGATGTTTTTCTTTGTTATCAGTTTCAAATGTACTTCTCATAGACATATATTTGTGTCTTCTGATTTTACTTCCTTGGCTTACTTTAAAGTAACACAACCTTTTCTGTAACAAAAACAGAAGTCGCTTGGAACAGGCAGCAGGTCAGGTGGCATTTATGGGAAAAGGAAAGTGAGTCAATGATTCGGGTCCACAATTCTTCATCAGAACTGGAACTTTGAGTTCTGACAAAGGGTTATGGACTTGAAACGTTGAGTCACTTTCCTTTCTCCATAGATGCCGCCTGATCTGCTGATTGTTCCCAGCGACTTCCGTTTAGTTTCAGATTTCCAGCATCTTGCAGTATTTTGTGTTTTGTTTACAGCCTTATCTGTGCTATTCCAAATTTTATACACTGAATGTACGCATGAGTGTTCACAAACTCAGATACCAAGTAATGCTTTCCAGCAGTTGTCACCTCAAGGTTCAGAGTTTCCTCATCAGAAGGTTGTGGAATCAAGTCCCACATCGGGATTTTAAACTCAATTTCTTGGCTGACACTCCAATACAGTATTGGGGGAGCACTGTATTGTCTGTCGCTTAATAATAAATATAATAATGCTTGCATTTGATATAGCACCTTATCTGGAATTCAAGATGTCTCAAAAGCACTTCACAGAATATATTGTAAAGTGAATTGATTGTATACTTTGTATGGGCGAAACGTGGCACCTAATTGCGCACAACAGTGTCCCATGAATAGTCGTGGATTAAGTGACCAAATTATTATTATTATTATGTTTTGAAGGAATTATTCTCCCAGAAAAGCGATCTGCCAATTGACTAACAATCGGGTTCCCACTGACTGCTAGGTAAACAGATGCGTGTGGAGGTAAGGAAACTTGCCCAATGTTTCGCCCTGCCCAGGAATTCACGCCAGGTCTCTCGCTTGCGAGGTGATCTAACCACTGAGCTACAAGACTCTACAGGACTCAAATAAGATTTTAAACCAAGGTTTAATGCTGTGGGGAAGCATTTAAACTGATTTTGAGGGGCGATGGGGATCAGAATGTAGCATCAGGGAGGGGAAACGAGTTATATATTGGACGAGGAGAGACAAATAGAAATGAAACAAGTAATAGTCCAGCGAAAAGTGGAAAGAGACACAGGAAAAATATAGAGGTGTTTAGGTGTTTACCATAGACCTCCAAATAGTGGGAAGGAAATAGGTGAGCAAATTTATAAGCAGATTTCAGAGAGATGCAAAACCAATATAGTGATAATGGGGGATTTCAATTATCCTAACATATTCTGGGAAACAAACAGTGTAAAGGGCAAGGAAGGGGAGGAGTTCCTGAAATGTGTGCAGGAGAACTTTCTGGATCAGCATGTTTCCAGCCCAATGAGGAAGGAAGCAGTGCTGGATTTAGTTCTGGGAAATGAAGTGGGGCAAGTGGAGCAGGTTTCAGTAGGAGAGCATCTGGTTAACAGTAATCACAATATTACTAGGTTTAGAATAGTTATGGAAAAGGACAACAATCAATCAAAGGTAAAGACCCTCAACTGGAAGCAGGCTAATTTCAGTGAGCTAAAAAGGGACCTGGCCAAGATAGATTGGAAAGAAAGGTTGGCAGGTAAAACAGCAAACGAACAATGGAAGAGATAGTTCGGGGACAGAGCAAACACAGACCCACAAAAGAGAAAGGTAGGACAGTCAAATCTACAGGGATGACTAAGGAAATTGGGATTAAAATAAAACAGGAAAAGGAGGCTTCTGACAAATGTCAGATCCAAAACACACAGGATAATCAAATAGAATATAGGAAGTACAGAGGAGAAGTGAAAGGGGAAATAAGAGGGGTGAAGAGATTGTACGAGAAACGATTAGCAGGAAACATAAAAGGAAACCCTAAGGTATTTTATAAGCATATCAAGAGTAAAAGGTTAGACAAAGGTAGAGTGGGTCCAATTAGGGACCCAAGTGGAAATCTTCTTGTTGAGGTAGAGGGCATGGCTGATGTACTAAATAAGCACTTCGCAACTGTCTTCACAAAAGAAGACGATGCAACCAATGCCACAATATTGCAGACGTGTGAACAGAAATTGGATATAATAAAAATCAACGGAGAGGAGGTACCAAAAAGGCTGTCGGTGCTCAACATAGATAAGTCACCTGGTCCGGACAGGTTACTGAGGGAAGCGAGGGTGGAAATAGCCAAGGCTCTGACCACAATCTTTCAATCCTCTTTGGACACTGGAGTGGTGCCAAAGGACTGGAAGGTTGCAAATGTTACTCCCCTGTACAAAAAGAGGCAGAAGGATAAACCTGAGAACTAAAGGCTAATCAGCCTAACATCAGTAGCAGGAAAACTTCTGGAGACTATAATCCGGGACAATATAAATTCCTCACTTAGAAAAATACGGTTTAATAAAGGACAGTCGACACGGATTTGTTAAAGGCAGATTGTGTCTGACAAATCTAATAGAATTTTTTGATGAAGTGACTGAGAGGGTGGATGAAGGTAATCCAACTGATGTAGTTTATCTAGAT